CAGGTGCCATGATGACCAGATAATCAGTGTTATTCACTTCACCTGTCAGTGCTCATAATGTAATGGCTGATCGGTGTGAAGGAATACTTTAATTTTAGGAAATATACTTCACTTTTTTGTTGAGAGTTAGATAAGAAGAAAGGTAAATGTAGCTTGAAACAGCAGCCGCATAGCTTAGCTTGAAGATCGGAAACAGCTAGCCTGGGTCTAAAGGTACCAACATCAGCCTGCCAACCCCTTTATGGCTCACTAGTTGACATGCTATTTGTAAAAAAAAAGTGGTAACAACAATGTTACAGGGTAGAGGTATACATGCTTTAAAATTAGCTGAGCTACCCCACAATCTTTGAACTGCAGAGGTACCTCCAGGGGTACAAGTACCACTGATTGGCAATTACTGGTTTTAGAGGTCTATGCTCTTTATTCTCTGCCAGCCTACCTGATTTATGGTCCTGTGTATATTCATCAAACTAGCAACACTGACTGAAGGGATTAGGTTTAGCCAGTAGCCATTCTATGTGCCATTATAAAAAAAGACCTTCAGATAGTGCAAATGACTGGGTTGTTGCTGCCATTTAATGCCACATTACTCCCAGAGCAAACGCCCATCTGCTGTCAATTTTCTGCTCATAAAGAAACAATGCATTCATCTTATCAAGTTTATCAAGACAAACCATAATATCTGGCTTGATATACTCAATGTTTTTCTCTCACCTGGATCGCACATCATTCAGTGAAGAATGACACCAATTTAGTTTATTTTATTTGTTCAAACTGGTCTGAATAAATGAATGGAGATTTTAATAAAGGGTATCCACAGAGAGAAAGTAATAACAGTTTCCCAGGCCGCCCACACTGAACCCCCAGCAGTTCTGCAGCAGTATACCAGCCTGCTTGCATAGCGATTTGGTAAACAGTATTCCCACACACTGAACGTCAAGCAGCCCTTTTTCTGGAGAACTAGATCTGTGCATGTGGGGAAATGATTTGATACTTGCTGTCAGGATTTCTCCACTGCACTGGTAACCATTTGTGCTAGATTCCTGAGTTTGTGTGCGACTTGGGTTGTTTTTAGATGCTGCTGTGCCAGTTGTGGGACTTGACCCAATCTCTGTTTGTTTACATTTGGCCAACAGATGTTCAACTAAGTGGACCCAGTTTTCTGAGCCATTTACCCTTCCTCCTCTCTGGGGATAAAGATCTGTACCCCCGCAAATAAACCATAGGCCATCTGATGACGCACTGTGTGGGCAACATCATCTGTGGTATATGTACAGTATCAGCCATTGTGGTTATTTAACACATTTAACAAAAAGTGTAAGCGTTATCTGGATTGTGAGAAGTGCTCCACTGTGTGAAACTGCAAACAGGCTATTCTAATCTTGCCCCAGAAACAGCTTGTGACTGAATTTAGCTCCCAGCATCAGTCACTTTTTATTTTTTCTTTCTTTTTTTTTACTGATGTGAGTGATTATCTATGAATATTCTTTGCTTTGTAAATGCTGTCCTGTTTATTAAAAAGAGACTTTTTATAGAAAAAGATGTACAAGATTATTCCACACCGCTATGCATCCTGAAGCAGTTCCCATCAGTCATCATCAGCATGAATTACAGTGAACTTAGCATGCTCTGGTTTTCTAAGCCCACTTTATCAATGCACATTTTGTTGCAGTTTCAAACTGCTTTTTATAGGCATCCTCTGGCTTAAAGCTGAAGAGCTGCCAGTACAGGTCAACCTCATAAGTCTACGATTGATGAGTCCTCTCATACTGAACTGACTTCATGTCTAATGAGGAGGCTCCATGGATATGTCCAGTCTTGGTTAACCATGTTTCCACCAGCAGAGCAGCCCCAGGATCCCTTCGCAGCATCCCAGCTCCTCTTATCTATTGCTTGCACAGTCCACACTGCTTCTAAAAGCCATTTGTCAAACCTCTGCCCACATTAAATTATCATGACCCAAGAGAGATGTCTACCTCTAGGAAGATACTCTGAGCCCCAGTCAGACAGATAGGGTGTACAGTGTCTGAAACGGAGAACTGAATGAAAAATTGACTGCGCAAAAATCCAAGTTTGTTCAGACTGCGCTGTATGATTGTGAGACTATATTACGAAAAATCTGACCGATGTCTGCCCAAAGACAAAAAGTTCCCTGCGGCTGCTGTGTATTGTAGTTCACTCCTGGCATCGTAAATCATCTTGTATGTTTTAACATACAGTAACACGCAGCCCAACACACCTTGATACTCCTGTGACTGATCTCAAAGGTAATAAAAAGATGAAGTGAAAGGACAGCAGAGGGTGTTTTGCTAGAGAAACTCCATAAAAGGTTCTTAATGTGACTCAGAGTATCATTCAGGTTAAATATGAGTTAGGGGCCCCTGGCGGTCAGTGAAGGCTTCCCATAATTCTGTTCTTTTCTATTCATTAATAATGACAGCACCCTAATGAGCAGGTCAGACTTAAAACAAAAGAAAATGTCTCTTTTAGAAAGAGGTTGATGTTGAGACAGAGTGCAGCTATTTTCAGATGAAAGACGAATACAGATCAGATGCTTTGCAGAAAATGATCCATTAGTCGGCAGAAGGGGAGAATTCTTAAAATATTGATACAGTCTGTATACTTTAGTCAGAGGGAAACCACATCCTGAAATTAGTGAATTCTTTACCAATGAGTTGCTATGATTTTCAGAGGAATAGAGTGAGCGATATCATTGATAGGCAGTCATCATGTGTGTGTATCTTTGTGTACACGCTGCACTCTTAATAAGGAATTCAAGTAAACGGGGAGCCTGATGTTTGAGCTTCCTCCCTGTTGGCTTGGGAAAAGTATGCTAGAAATGCTCCAATTTGTCCTGCTAGACACACTGTTTCTCTGCCATGTTGCTCTGTATGTAACAAAACACAGAGTACAAAGAACAACAGCCAGACAAGCAAACGAGACACAGAGAAACTGTGTTAAAAAAGAAATGAGTCTCTGAAATGAATCCTGCGAATTTCTTTCTAAGCATCTGTTACACTCATTACTTTTCCAAAAAACAACAACAACAACAAGAGTCTCTGTACTGTAATATGCTTATCAGAGCAGAACAAATCATATTTTTTAATAGTCAGCACAGGGTTATGTAATATATCCGACTCTATGGGTGTCAGTTTGTAGTCTTCAGTTTTTCTAAATTTCTCTAAAAGAAATTCAACAGCTATCAACAAATGTTCATGCATTTCTTTTGTAACTTTTGTTTTCCCAATATAAGTACTGTACATCCGATGGGTTTTATGTTGATGGCTTTCTCACATCCAGAGTATTCAATCAGCCGTCACTGTTACGCTGTAAATTGAGTTGGATTAGGCAACATACATAAGAGTGCTTTGGAGGTTGGCATTAACAGCCGATCTGACACAAACATTGGCTTCTTTGCTAAATTAAGTCCATCAAAGAAGAGTTGGGTAACGAGTTTTAATTTCAATAGACCTGTATTGAATCTCACACCGGTCTGCACCTCGCGTTAAAAATTGCTTTGCTAAATTGGTCACCAATGGGGCAAAGACTTCTCATAAGACATTTTTGTTTCTGCTCTGAAACTTTATAATTTCTTAAACTCAATATCTACTTAATATTAGACCTTTATATGTACTTTATTTTCTTCTATCTAGTCTATTTGTCCACATCATAAATCTACTTTTCCTTCAGTCTACTCTGTACATATGGCACCTATTGTAAGTCTGTCTGTCCTGGAAGAAGGATCCCTCCACTGTTCTTCGTCTGAAGTTTCTTCTTTATTTGGTTGTGAGATTTCCAAACAAAAGGGACCATAATCACTTAACATATTATAAGAATCACTTACATCATCGCATTGTCTAATGAACTGCTCTAAATTCTTTCCAGATACCTGTCTGTTAAGTATGCATTATTATTTGCCATCTCTCCCATGAAGACACCAGCTGTGGTTACCCAGGAGATTTGTGATGCAATTCTTAGTTCACTATTTGCTGACTTTTGCAGCTTTACCGTAGACATGCGTGCCAAACTGCAGATTGTGCACCGGCAGTCTTCATGTGACAGTGACTCACCATGCGGTGGATGTGTTGTAGGGCAGGAGCGTGGGGCTGTGGCTCTCCCCTCTGAGGCTATGTCTGGGCTGGTAGTGGCTGGGGACCATGGGCTGGGCTTGAGCCTGGGATTCGCTCTCCTCTGGCATGGACCTGTGCCACTGACTCCGAGCCTTCTTCAGCCAGCGTCCTCCCAGACCCCATTTCTCCAGGTAGACCCTGCACAGCTCGTAGTTTATGGCTGAGTAGTAGAGAAAGTCCAGCGCAAGCAGCACCATGACGAAGAAGCCGTAGATCCACACGCCGACCAGGGCTGTATAATTACTGGGGGAGAGACAGACTGGGAGTATTAGCACAGTGTGATCTGGGAAAGATGATGATAAACAATCCTCACATGCTCAGAGCTGCCATCCAGATACCCTTAAGATGCTGGGCTATTAAATCCCAATAGCTACGATCGAGCTGCCAGGTGTGAATATTTGCTGTTCATGTGGCAAGACCAAGACGTTTATCTAATCCTCCCTTGATAAAAACTAGTAAAATATATATAAACCTCCATCTGTTCTATCTGCTGCTTTTTTAATAGCGCTTCTCAAATTGGACAAAGAATTTCATTAGCACAAGAGACTTTTTAATCCATCTCATATTGGCTCCTCCGTAGTGCCTCTGAAAATCTGTGCTCCTAATTTTCACCTCTCATAAATTTTCTTCATGTATTACATGATCTAGCTGGATTTATATGGGGAACATTTGAACTTTCCTTTAGTCCACCCGCATCCATAAATTACTGCTCTATGATAATGGGCAGAAATAGCTTCCTGAGAATTTTGAGAAGCAGCATTGCCAGAACAGGGATACGAATATCTGGGTGTGATGTCTCTGTTTCTGTGGCCCTGGGGACATTTAGTTGGGAAATATCACACAAATTGAAAGTGATTTAGTCCTATTAGGATGCTTCGATTAGACAGAATGGAAAGACACTGAGAGACAGGGCTGATACTGGATATTACTTCGAAATAGAGATTTATTCGGAGCAAAACCCATCTTTTATGCCATTTCGGCACACTTTGCCATTTGTTTGACAGCATAGATTGAAGCCAGTCTAAAAAAGTGATGTCCAAGTGCTTCTAGCTCAGTTAATAAAGGGAATCCACTTCTGTCTGAAAATGATGTGCCCTTGGGGATATTTATCTGAATAAATGACTTTAAAACGAACATCAGAGGTGCTCAAATGAGCACTAAGGCAGACGAATGCCACTACTGCACTCAAATCTAAATGTATCCTTAACTGCCTTTACCTTTCCTCTGCGTCAGAGACATTTAGACATTCAATGCAGGACTGGTGTTAAGCAAACTATAATATGTGCACAGTCCTTGGAGGGATCAATCATGACCATACAGCTAAAACAAATGTTGTTCAATATTTAACACAGCTTCCTTAGGGAAGGAAAGTAGATGCAATTGATTATCTGTCAAAGGTGTGTAGCTTTTCTTGTTGCTTTTTTAAAATTTTATTCTACTCTGAATCTATTTCGATTCTGCAGCATTTCAGCTACTCAGAAACCCCTCGCAGTTCAAGGTAAAACTAAAGGCGTTTGCCTTTAGTTTTACCTTGAACTGCAGTAAATCTCCTACTATAATACCATTTTCACTGTGCAGAGTGAGTAGAAAGCAGAATTATGGCCAGTTTAACTCGCTTGGCCAGTGGTAAATATCAAGCTGGCAGTCCCATCGCCCAGTGAGCCAGGATGAAAGAGTGGCCCAACAGGCCATCTGACACTAAAATGAAATATCATGACCTGCTGCAGGGCAGTGTGAACCATCTAAGACAGATGCATGCTGGGAGGGCATTAGTACAGAGAGCTGTGGTTTTGTCACCCAAACCTCCCACTGAGAGCTCCCACAGTACAAGAGGCTCATTTTCTGTGTCCTTCACTGGTAATCTGCTTATCCTGATATGAAAGGAGTGTGTATTCAGATGAATGCGTCTGTCTCTGTGAAAATGTACTGTCATGGCATGTGTAGCATGGTTTACTATGAATAATACAACAAAGTACTATAATACTTGCATGGAAATATGTATTATGATAGGATGCCATAGTGATACTTGATAGAATAGCCTGCACTTAACACCTGCCTTTGTGAATGCTCACGTGGAGGCGTCCCACTCACAACACAACAACTGCTTGCAGCATCTGCTCTCCTCTGTGGTGGTTTTGAATGCCTCTGTAGGTGTGGATCAATGTCAGTGAACCCTCTGAGCAAGAGGCAAACGGTGTCAATGAGTGCGATACTGTCGAGGGAGCGAAATGTTTGTGAGCAAGCAGACTATCGCCCGCAATCTGATCTGAGGAAATGTCATCTTTGAAACTGTTTCGTTCCACCATAGCCGTTCCCCAAAAAACTCAAGATTCCTAATTACCTCCACCGAGCCGAGGAGGTTATGTTTTGGTTTGCAGAATATGTGAAAAACTAGATTTCAGCGGAATTTGGTGGAAAGTGCCCAAACAAGAACTGATTACATCTGGATGTGGGTAGCGCCACAGTGTGACATTTTATTGTCTAACAAATAATTTGCAAAAATAATTAGTTGCAGCCCTACATTGCTAATTTCAAGGGGGCCATGGTAGGCCTGTGGATTACATGGATTCATAGTTGTTCTGAAAAATCAGTATGACTGACTTAGATGTGCATTATGATCCAGAGATCCATTTTTTGTTATTAAAGTAATAAATTTAGAACCGGCAGCCATGGTGGAGGTATTCACTCTCTAAGGCCTTGTAGGTCATAATGAAATGATGTGCTATGGCTTTTTAAACAAAAATTAAAGTTTGAACATATTCAAACTAACATGTAATGGCCAGGGAGAGAGAATGTGGTGTCATACAACTGTATTGAGATTGTGGCTCCAGTTCTGTCATTGACATGAAAACCTCTTAGCATCTTATTGGTGATTTACCAAGCTTCTGGCAAGGGCAGATGCACAGTGTAATGGGGTTAAACATCTTTACTCACTTGTGTGCATAACCGTCTGAGGTGGTGGTGAGGTTGACCTGCATGACCATCTGGAACTCTGTCTCGTTGCAGCAGTATTTGAAGGCGGTGTTGTTGTGGTGGCAGCAGAACATGTAGGTCTTGTTGTCTGAGAGGCGCGGGCAGTGAAAGCCGAAGTGGTAACGCCCCTTGTGGTCAGCATAGGGTTCGCACACTCGGTAATGAGCGGAAAGGGCTGCAGTTTTGGGAAAGACAAGTTGAGATGTCACTCAAGACCTCTGAGGAAGAGTTTGTGTCTCCCTACTCTGAAAAATGAAAAGGCCCTTTTAAGAATTATTGACGGAAAACAGCTCTCAAGGAAAAACCTTTAAACCTGCAGCAGCCAAACTACAAAACAAAGTACTGAATGGCTTTTTGTCTTCTTTGGAAGCCTCAGAAAAGACACGACTGGAGAGAGTCCATGTAATAATAATGGTCTAGGACAAGGAACAGAAAACAAACACAGTGTACTAGCAAAAATAATCAGATAGGAGACATCACATTAAGCAT